TCTGTGTGTGTGCGGGTGCGTGTGCGGGTGTGTGTGTGGGTGTATAGCATTTAAAAACAGGCCTACTAGATAAGTAATACAGTAATAGCACTACTCAAATAGAAAAATGATGTTATAATCGTATCGTAAAGAAAACAGATGATCACAATTTTGGTGTCTCATCCATGTCCATGGAAAAAGTAAGTATATAATTTAGCATAATTAAGCAATAATAATTAATGCTAATGTTGATTACCAACAATTTGTGATGATAAACCCTTCAAAAGATTCTTGTTACTAATACCGTACTAATATTCATTTTTTTAATCTTAAATAATGTAAATTTCCAGTATTGAAGCAACAAATGAAAAAGTTCAGGGACTTTGGATTGGAGGCTGGCAAGTATGTGTGTTTTCTGGATTATTAGCACATTGTGCCTGAATAAATACAGTATCCATTAAAAAGGGTAATAATGATGGTGTCTTGATTCACTTAATAACAAAGTACTGTATAAATCTCCAATTTCATTTTAAAATTTTGATTACACAGATTTTTCATTACAGCAGAATAACTCCAATACTGTATATAGAAAAAAGGATATATAAAGAATTTATTTTTTTCTCTTATAGTGAGAGGTCTGTGCATTGTACACAGTACATGTGCCATATCACCTAACTAGACACCATGGGAACATTTTGAGTGACTTAAAGATAAACCCAGTTTACGAAAGGTTGAGAAACAAGGACTAGGTATTGCATTATACACAACTGGTGATGCATAATATTAATCAAATTTGGAGTGGAGTTGCCACACCATTGATTTAAACATATATACCTAAAAAATGTATGGTCAATAAAAGCAAGGAGTTACATCTTATATGCCTATTAGATAGATACGGCGCTATTTAAAACTACATTATCATTATTTTTATTATTGTTATCATTATTATTTTTATTAATATTATTATTATTATTGTGATAAAAGTTTAATGTACAGTACTTACTCTCTTTGTAAAATATCTGTAAAAATACACTTTATATTGATGTGGTTTAAAAGCATGGATTATAATAAAGGTAGTTTTATTGTGAAACAAAAATTATGTCCTTACTGATTTTGTATTACAGTATTTGTGTAAGCACTGTTGAAAGGATATCGGATCAAATTGATCAGAAAATCACATCATTTATTAATATTGACCCGTTTTCTGGTCAATTATTGTGACTAGTTTCCTGGTCAATTATTTTGAGCAAGAAATTCGCTGGCCATTTTAACCAGTACCTTGGAGTGCCCGTTTGATCAGAGACCTGGTCAAGTTAAATTATTTTTACTAGTTTTTCTGGTCAAATTTTTTGATCAGGAAATCCTGGTTATTTTGACTTGCGATTTGCCGACTGACCATTAAAAACTATAGTCGAATTTAATCCGTATCTGGTCGTATTTGAGCAGTTCGTGTTTAGACTGATGAGTTACAGGAAAACTTTGCTTTAGTTCTCCCTGACCAAAATATGTTACGGTATTGTAGGCCTACCTTCCAAATCATCTATATTATTAATTCTGCTAATCGCCACCACGTAACTTCCCTTATCTCCTCTGAAAGCGCTGGCAGGAATGTGCTCATATCTCATACACTGGGGCCTCTATGTCACGACCGCTACTTTTTAAGGCTGGATATTGGATAACAACGAAAAAACAGCCAAAAACCCGAAAATCAGTACTGTTTCGCCATGTTTCGCAAGTTGCTTACGTCACGTAAATACAATTAATCACATCTATTCTGTATTCTGCAATGCTTAGGTCTAAAAATTATCGAGTCAGGCCGTAAAAGAACCAGTCTATGTTTCGCAGCTTCATTACGTCACCGCCCAGTACTTCTCACGTTCATCAACAAAATAGGTGACAAGCATGTTCCCGTACCTCTTCGGAGTAGGCCTACTTTTTGCATTTTACTTAATATATTGTAGTTTTATGGCACAAAAACATCAGCAGTAAATGGCATGTTTTCGAAGTCGATCAGGTAAAAATAAAGATACACATGGGCACATACCATGATATAACCTCGGCCTAACTATACTGGCTAGCCCTACACAGGCCTATTAATATAGGAGTATAGGCACATGCTTAGGAGGCACACCTAGCTCTGGCCCAGGCCTGGGCTCTAGCCTATGATGTCGATCACAGCAGATAGGCCTAGACCTAGGGGCCTAGGCTCAGGTGTAGTTAGCATACATAGGGCCTATCCTCTATCTCTCGAATCCGGGTCGATTTGGATAGTGCATTAAGATAGATAGAGTCAAGCCAGCTCAACCAATCAATACCTTGAATTTACGTAAACACGTCGGGACAATGTTTACACGTTCTTTGAATGTCAGTAGTTCATAAGCCTTTACATTCATCCACCTTGATTGAAGACTTTCTCATGCCCAGCTAGGCTAGGCCTATTGTATATTTCTGTACTTTTACTTAAAAGATGGTAGCCCAATTAAAACAACAGGGGAAGATCAAGTAGGGGAGGGACGTCACTGGGCTGGGAACGGCTCCTGCCATGTTTTGCCACTATTTTTTTTTTTATTTCAATGCAATATATGTGCTATTCGCTTATTCAATTATCCTGAAACTGTTGTGTACCCCCTCCCCCTCCATTTTAAACATTCTGGATCCACCCTTGATCACACTGCACAATAATTCTTCACAAGGACTACAGTGTGCTGCAAAGACACTCAAAAAATTAACTATAAAGACGCCCTTCAGAAAAATAGTGACATGGTAACCATAAAACATCCACAACAATTATTATTGCCTCAACTTCCCCATTCAACAATGTACATGATCGCCACCTTTCCCGACCCATTCAACACCGTGCGGAGCAAGGGTATATGCTAGTATTAATTCAAAATTTACTACTGCTGTTTTATCTCATTTTAGTGTTTTATAAATATTCTTATGTTATGAAAAATGATATGAAACTGCTTTCAAAACCGGTCTTTGTCTTCTTTTAGTGGTCATATTGGGTTTTTATTGTAATCGAAACTGTTCGCGACGTTCACACACTAGATGGTAAGCGAGCGAAGCGAGCACACCTTGGGCCGGTAGTGTTAAGAACAATCTTCAACAAAAGCACCAAACTGTTTTCTCTTATATCATCACTTCGAAATTAATGGTAAAATGCTTGTTTACATTTAACCGGCAAGCCCGTTTAAGCACACACACACGTCCATACGGCAGACAGTTATACCATGGTTATACAAGTAGTTTTTCGATCATTGTGTCCTTGAACTTTGACCCTGACCCTTCAAAATTCAGTCACTTCCAGAGCTTTGATCATGAAACATTGTTTGACAAGTTTGTGATGAAAACTATTCGCTGCAGACAAATAAATTTTAAAAATAGTTTTTTCGTTGAATGTGACCTTGACATTTGACCAGACCATGGCCCTTCACAATTTAATCAGCTCTAGATGTTTGTGATAAAGGAACAATGTGGCTAAGACGAATTTCTAATAAAAACTGTGGGCTAGTCTGTAGGTTGTTCACAACAAATATGTCGACAGACAAATACACAAATAAATAAATAAACAGGGAAAAAACAACATCCTGACAACTTCGTTGGCGGAGGTAATTTTGAATGTATTATAAATAAATTAAATTAAAATAATAAAGTATGTCTCTAATGGAAGCCAAATACATATATTATGGTACATACGTGTATTATTACACTCAGTCAAAATAATCTCTGCTCATGAGCCCACCGTGATTTTATTCCACGACCCTGACCGGGGCTCTAGGCAGCCTCTTGGTTTATACCTCTAGCTGGACGTTTTGAGCCCCCCCCTCCTGGATACCGGTGTTAAGTAGATTCCCGATAAAAGATAATGAGAAAATTGTTGGCAGCACTAAATAACGAGAGATATTCATAGAGGTCAGTTTATTTCAAAGCACTATAATTGTATGACCAGTTTGTACATGGCAAGAGATTGGAGGTGACAACCTAATGAAAGATGTTACTTCTTGTTGTTGTTTCAAAAGGCCGCTTTTCGGGCTTTAATTCATAACGTTGATATCTTAAACCGGACTTTAGAACCGTGGTTAATAAAAAAAATAATAATAATGTTATATTTATATAGCGCATATTGCACATTGCCCCTATGCGCTTTACAAAGAAATAATACAGACCAACCGAGAAAATGCAAATAACAATAAAATAAAATAAAATTAAAAAAAACCTTGAAATTAGGCCAGAAAGTTAAAAAATGCCGTGAGTGGAGAATTTTTTATTTGGTCTAATTATTATGCTTCTGTTTTTGGATTAGATTTTGGTAATATTAGTTTAATCAACATAATTAACTAGCACGTGAAAATATGATAAAGATCATACCTTGTTGACCGAGAACAACAACTTTGGCTTCCAATAATTTCATAATTTCGTTGTTTTTATGCACTGTGAAAGTTATCTGCCAAGGCACTTCTCGTACGAAAGAGCCTCTGGAAATCTCAGCAGTAGCAGGAGTTCCAGTTGTGAGGTACCAATGACCCCATGTGCGAGATACAAGGACTCTAACGCCACATAACAAGCTTAAGGTTTCTCACTCAGTATCACACAGTATATACTTAGTTTTCAATATAAATCTGAATAATTACTGCTTGCAGAAATACTGTACACATAAAAATAATAGCACATTGGATAGCCTAGACATCACCACACTTGTCGCAGGCAGTTGATTAGGAATAGGATGTACTTGTTACTTAGCTTTACCTGTTGAACCTGCAGTATGGATATGACCACAAAGATAACTATGCAGTAATGATAGCAGATAACAATAGAGTATTACCAATTTGTATTGAGTTGATGATAATTTTGCTGATAAGTGTAGTTTTTTATAGAAAGATTGCAGCCACTTTCTTTGGGTGACAGTTCATAGTTCGATGATGATACACTTCTCGTTTGTTTGGTAAACTTCAACGGTGGATCCAGAGGTGACGAAACTAGGGGGTGCTGTGTTATGGAGAGTAATGTGTGACCGGAAATGGTCTGCAGTCAGTTGGTTGTTACCATGCGCCAGTGATGTTGGAGTATATAGTACAGCAATATGAAACTA